TTGACTACATAACATTGTGGTAAACCCAAGCACCAGTAGATTCTCCATCAGTATTTCAATGTGCCTAATAATAATAATAATAATAATAATAATAATAATAATAATAATAATAATAATAATAATAATAATAATAATAATAATATAGGCCTAGCACTAATATCGTATGTGATTTGACGGTCAAAGATCTATAAGATACACTCTCTTTTGTGCATTACTTTTTACTGCTCTGGCCTTACTTAAATCACAGATCCTATTTGTATATAGGATCTGTGTTTAAATGATTGGCTACTTGTAATCTAAATTCTAAAGCATTAAATTAAAACATAGACCCATACCATCTGTGATGTGCTAAAAACATACAATAATATTTCAATTATCCCTATTAAATTTATTATAGGCCTATTTGTTGGTTGAGGAAGCTTCTACATCATTTTTGGTAATGACCTCTAATCGTGCGTTCACAATTGTGTGCATTTTCTTTATATTCGGGATTATTAAAGAGATTTTCATTCAATTTCTCAAAATTATTAAAAATTAAAAAGGTCTGGAATACGTCAGCCATATTCTTTCCAACGTCCTATTATCGTAAGTTTTGCTCCTGATTTTTAAGATACATTACAGGCATTGAAGACCATTATAATTGCGACTCTCCAAACGATTTTTAAAATCTGTTTGATGAAGGGGTATCCATGACCTACCACCATTTTAGATCTAACAACAGACTTGTAAGAACTACAGATAACTCAATCGCAACACATTTGAAAGACCAATTAGTCATTAGATCTATAGCAACATAGCGGAGAAAGGTAACTTAAATTAAAATCTCCAGTTAAATTTCTTCTGTAATACATTCAATGCTAGCTTTGGAAAGAAGTTCACCAATAAAGTACTGAAATCACAATTATACACACAAAATTAATCAGGCATGCCTTACATTTAGTCAAGTTCAAATGTATAATCTTCCATCTCTAGAATATCTATACATTACATCAATAAAGGACCAAGGCAAAGCTTTATCGAAATCAGACTAAATCACCCTCTTAAAAAACCTGTTGTCGTCTGCAAACAGTCTAATCAGGAAGGCAGACGATTATTGATATAGATCATTACAAATAATAATGGCCCCAGAACATCGCCTTTTAAACTTTCCATTTTTTCACATTTTCGTCGTCGTTATATCATAATTGAGGTTAAGCTTAGGTCTGTAATTTTACATTTTTACTTTTGTTTTTTACGTCAGCTCTCTACCTTCCGTACCATGAATCAAGAACTACCGTCGGCCATTAAAATGTGTTTGTTACAAGAGCCCATTTTAAATTTCACGCCACTCTGGTCACACCGGTCAGCGACGAGGGTGTATCCCCATACTGCGGTTGGGGTGCTGGCTTGGAGTTCTTCTTTCCTTGTTTTCCAATTACATCTATTCGCTTGTTCTTGCGCATAGAGACCCTCGTATTTTGCACGGTATAAATGAATAGTCTTTAACCTGTTTAACTCTTGTTTAAGTTCCCACACTAGAAAACATCATTTTAGTTAAGTTTTCTTTAAAAAAAAAAAAAAAAAAAAAAAAAAAAAAAAAAAAAAAAACAGACCTACAACTTCATTAAAATCTAATTCCATGATATTGCCGGAAAAGAAAGAGATGAGTTAACAGAGTATATACACGAATTCTGCTTTATAAACTTGAGAAGAACAAGTTTATTATAAGCTGTGTTAAAAGTGACTTTTAATTTAAAAACGTGAAAAAGCTAGGCCAATATGCCCACAGTGGCAAGAATGTCGCAATCAGTGAAAACAGATACACATTGTACCATATCCTATTGCATTAAAAACGTACCTCCTGTCTTGAAGTATAGAAAATAATCAAAAATTCGATTACAGCATTGAACAAGTTATTTAAATGATCATAAAAGCTATTAACTTGCAAAGATGAACAGATTAAAAAGTCATTATACTACGTAAAGCCTTAAATTGATTACCAGTAAATTTATGGGTATTACAAACGAGTATAAACATGCTTATTACGGGTCTGTAAATTGCCTAGAAAATTTGTTTTCATTTGAATTCGTAACTGAAAGCCAATAATTTTTACATAAAAAAAGGAATGCAAATCAAGTTTTGGTAGGTTTTATCAGTTTTTCACCCAATCAAAACAGTATTTTTAAGTTGATTTTAACAATGAAGTTTTGAAATCAAAATCGAAAAGAAAAAAAATCACATCCACTCTCTACTTTAACACCCTCTTCCATAATCGCAAAAGTACAAACACTGTATGACCATGGATTCTTTTCTCCGTATGGTGTAACGTATTATTCGAGTAAACGAGCCGCTTTGAATAAACTTCACCTCGATTAAACGCCCCCTCTGTTATCGCTCCGGGCTGATCATTAATATTTCTCAATACGCTCCCAAATTACTGTGAACAAAACTACTGGAAGATACACCAATTAACTAATTACATAGTAGACGTGCTTTCATTTGAAAACGGTTATCTAAAAAAAAAAGTACAATGTGCTGCGCAATACATTACTATCATTAACATTAAGCACTATGTGTTACTTCAGGCCTCTCGCACACTGCCCCGATCCGTCGCGTGACGAGTCGTCACGTAGCAGCCTCACTGAATCGCGTCAGTTTCTGACGCCGAGTACGCTTATTTACATATGATCAGATATCAGTTTGCATACAAGCATCATGCCACAACGTCTACAATCGAAGATACAGCATCGTATAAGTATGTATCAGGATGTTTAATTTATCAAGTGGCTAACAAGGATGAACATTTACTATAACAAAATAAGTTAGCCCAAAGTGAAAGAATTTTGAAAACTGCTGAAATTATAATCGTCCGGCTCTCTAACTACAGCGGCCAACTTACAGTCCTAATAAATGTATGTTAAGAATATTTGCAGCATGAGCTTGCCATCCTCGCCATGGTATAGTGTGATGTAAACGCCACGTGATACGTTACCTAATACGAAATGAGAGCAAAGAAAACAAACGATGGCACGGACTTTCGCTATTTCATTCTTTAGATTCATAATTAAAACAATAACAGCATAGTGTTGGAAATCTCAATCTGAAGATGACAAATAATACTGATTCTGTGTGAATTTCCTTTCATGTTACTGGAAATATATTATTACATAATATAAAAAATTATATATATATGTAAATATATATAATTTATAGATAAATTAAAAGGATAAATACTAATAAACAATGTGCGAAACCATGGTTGGATCAAATTTGGAAAGCAACAGCTAAAATTTTAACGATAAGTAAACAACCAGAAATAAAACCAGAGCTTTCGGAAAACACTAAAGACTGGTACTCGAATACGAACAAGATGTTATAATCGTATCGAGTATAGCCTTTCAACAAAAACTTCCTGTATACAGTTGTATGAAAAAAGTGTCTCTGGCGGGATTCGAACCTGCAACCTCTCGTTATCAAGACGAGTGCCCCATTAGACCACGGTGTATAATCTAACCCGCAGGCACTTTATTTCATACTGACTAAAACACTCACACAATAGTGTAACTATGGATAAGCTGGAAAAATTATATATATATATATATATAGGCCTATATATATAGATATACTATAAATCGTCTTGCGGTCATGCTATAAATATATGTAAATACATTTTAAACGTTATAAAGAGGAATATTTGAGTGTGAAAACATATTCGAACCATGCACCTTCTGTTGTCTATGCAGACGCCTAAACTAACTAGGCCATTGAGGTTTTGTTAGGAATTCATATCTGATTAATGCATTTAATTTTTGACACTCATACGCCTTGATGCATGGCAAATAACAGTGGTCAATGTGATATGCACCCTTGTTATAAGCAGTTAACAGACGAGATCTCCGAAGAGATGCTTTTATAAATAAACCATGATATAATAGAGATAAACTCTAAATCGTCTTGCGGTAATGCTATAAATATATGTAAATAAGTTGTAAACGTTAAAAAAAAGAGGAATCTGCGTGTGTGGAAAAATAGGTGCCCCAACCGGATTCGAACCCATGACCTTCTGCTGTCTGCGGACGCCTTAATCAACTAAGCCATTGAGGCTTTTTGGGAATTCAAATCGATGTCGAGTTACAGGTTATATAAATTGAAATCCCATTATAAAGTATCGTTTTCATGGAGACAAAAAAAAAATTAATGGCTAAGGTCCAAAATGAAAATATATTGGATTGTACGAATTTGAGTAAAACAGTACGACCATGGAGGAATTAGTTAGAAGCTAATAAACTAATCCCTCCATGGTACGACCGACAAACATGTTATTATCTATACCTGTATTAATGATATGGGTCAAGTGTTTTCAAAACATGAATTTAGATAAAACTTTGTAGACTTGTTTTTTTTTTAATCTTTTGTATTTTTTGTCATAAGCTTAACCATGTCCCTTTAATAGGGTTGGAATATGGGTTTAATTGATCATACTGACACACGCAGTGTCCCTGCCGTAATGTTAAGACATTTCCACTCGTTTCAAGTAAAAGTGTCCCTCAAGAGAGGTGTCCCCAGAAAAATGGGTGATCCAATCGAAAGGGTTCTTCAAGCCCAAACTTTATCCTGATTCTATATATTTCATAAATCATTATATCTAAGTATTGTACAATCTGATGCAACATTACAAATAAAGCAAACTTGACCACTTTTATTTGTGGTTGTATTGACACTTGTTAAAACTGTCCGAATATACTTACTCAAAAATTATTGACTAATGAAACGCAAGTTTATTTCTGAATTTTGCTATAATAACTAACGTTAAAGTGTGAACGCTGATTAGGGTTAATTAATGTTAACTACGCAGTGTGTGCATTTAACTCGTAGAAGTACATGCTCGTATTTAACTATTATTCAACCCATGTCTTAACAGCTCATACCTTCTTTTGTTTTCTAAAACTATTGCAAGAATAGGCCTACTGATGTCTCATACAGTGTTTAAGGGTTGGACTATGTTCCATTATTATACATACCGTTCTATTAGGCCTATGTGAAATCTCAAACTAGATATTGGAATCGGCTGACTTCGAATTAGCTTCAGTAGGTGATTTAACTGCAATTTTTGTAATCAAAACTAATGAAGTATAGTATTGTACTTAAACCTGATGAGATTCTTCGTCTACGAGATATCCGTCTGGATGCACTGGTTCTCAGCTATTCCGTAGAATGTATTTTGTTCCAGTGGTTTTAAAAAGCAATCTGACGCAAAGTCGGTCGTTTGGGGGCAGTATGTACCTGGTTTCTGGCGGCGGCGTGTTTACAAGTTATTAGAACTGATAGATGTGTACTGATTCGAATGAAGTTTGATTTTGTGGAAACATATTGTCAGGTTAAAATGTACATATAATAAAATAGATTGCGTCTCAGACGTCAACTGTTGGATACTGTTATAAAATTAACGACTTAAAAAAAAAACCTAAAATACGAACAAAAAACCCCCCGCATGTTGTATAGCACCAAGCTTAAAAGTTGAAATATAATGTGCTTAAAGTACTATTGATTATCGCCAATCCATCGATCTAAGATCCAAGTTCACATTCCATTCACATAGGCCTACGTATTCTATTAGCTTACAAGATTGTGCAGACATTTACATGCATGACGCCGGTTCTTCAAGCGGAATTAATACATACCGTAGTTAAAATATATATGTGTTGAACATTATATTTATATTCATTAACTTCTTTACCATTAATATGTATATTGCAGGTTTTTTAATTTGTAAGCGGGTGCTGTTGTCTCGTAATACAATCTTAAAATGTTGAATAGTATAAATTGATATCGGAACGCAGCGGAGTGCACGTAAATAGGTGGTTGATTATCTTTTCTTTAAATCCATTCTAAAGCTCTGTCCAGATTATTAAATTGACAAAGAAACTGTTGTATGCCCATATATAGTCATGGTGTGCCTGTATATGGTCATGATGTGATGTCATCATGACCATATTGAGGCATGTCACATGTTTTTGTCAAACAAAATTTGATAGTCTAAACAGGGCTTTATTGCGGTAGTATTTGTTTTCTCAATTAAAAAAAAGTCTAAAGATATCCCCTCTCTAAAATCGAAAGCACACGCAGATATCTCCTACAAAAGTGGCATATCTACGGGGTAGCCCCCCACCCCCCAAAAAATAAAAATAATAAGTGGCCCCAAGACGCCCTCACATGGAATCATTTTAAAACTTTCTATGAACAACCAGGATTAGGTGTATTCCAGAAATCCAATTGTTTTTTTTTTTTCTTCTTTTCTTAGTGTGATTCTATGAGAATCATACAGTATAAAGCGTTTGGGTGCTATAGGTTTGTTGTATAGAATTTATCATTTCGAATTTTGGATGAAATAGACATTAGGCCTAGTGAATATTTATGCTTTTCAGAGGTTTTCACTTTTCTGCATCTCACAAGAAGGTGGTAAGACTATTTGTCTTAGCTTTAAACGGTGACTAAACGAAAATAGAATTGAAGCCAAGCCATAAAGCCTAATTTTAACTTACCGTAACTTCATTAACTGAAGTTTATTAAGTTTATTCAGAAACAGAACCATTAGGCCATTGATATTTGATAGCGGATATCGATTGACAAATGCAGGCCTACAACCAACAAGTAATAATTAGGATTACACGATGACAGCTTTACATACACTCGTCTTGGTCTTCTGTTGGTTATCTTATTTTCACCATAAGGGGGTATGGAGTATTTGTCAGCTCAGGTGTTTTTCTTTTAATTTGTAAACAAGAGTAAAATCAAAACAGGTAAACCCCATGGAATATTTAAGACAAAAGCATGAACCAGTAACAAGTAAATGCATGCATACATTATACATAATACATGCATACATAATACATAATAACATAATACATAATACATGCATACATTATACATAATAACTATTTAATAACATTCCCTTCAAATTGAATTTCACAGGGCTACATTAATACTTATGATTATCTTTCATTTTTCATTTCATTAATTTCTTCACTTGATATAAGTAATTATATACCCAGCAGTATAATTAATAATCATAATGGTCATGTTTCCAAATTCTCTAAAGTTGAAAGAGGGGTACGACAGGGGTGTCCCATCTCTGATTTTCTGTTTGTTTTTGGTGTTGAACCACTGGCATGTAAGATTAGACAATCTGTGGATATTAAAGAAATTAAGTTTCCCATAAACTCATACGAAAGGAATGAGGTACAAATTACTAGTTTTGTGGATAATACAACGATATTTGTCGATTCAGTTGATTCCTTTAACATGGCGATTATAACCTTAAAATATTTCTCTAATATTTCTCTATTTTATAAATAGTAAAAAATTAAAGCCGTTTTGGATAGACTCACCGATAACATACTGAAGATTGAAGACATTAAATGGAAGGTTAAACCAAATGATTTTGTAAAAATTCTTGGCGTGCAATTAAACCCAAATCTTACGCTTGAAAAAATAAAATGTAATTAAGAGAACAAAATACACAAAAAAAAATTTAATCGTACTTTAGATCCTGGAAGGGCAGAAGTTTGTCAATGATTGGCAAAAATGTAATTGTTAAGACTTTACTTTAGTGGCGTATCTCGAAGTCTTGAAATGGGGGTGATGATGGGGTA